TTCTCATCTCTTTTTGTTATTCAAAAAAAACACTAATAAATAATATAATTTGTCCCAAAATAGATTTTAAATTAAATGATAAAACTCTAATACATCCTTTGGCATAGCAAATCGTGGGTCAATTTCACCAATAATATCTGTATACTTTCTCATTAAACTTAATCCAGCAATCCCAAAATATGTATGATAAATATCAGCACAATCACCTGGTCTATCAGCAATCCCACCATCTTCCATATCTTGTGCTTGTAGAATAAACTTCTCAAGTGCATCTTTATCAATCCAATCAACTTTTCCAAGAATAATCAATGAAGTTAATACCCACCATGAATAACATACATCAGGTAATTTCTCAGGTCTTCCATTAAGTCCTCCAGTTGCTGTTTGTCTTTCACATAACCACCATGCTAATTTCTCTTTATCTAATACATCTAACCGATTTAATAATGCTAAACATGCTACAACTGTAAATGTTTGACCAGCATGTGACTCTGCCCCTGGGATACATCCAAATGCCCCATCAAAATTCATACATTTCATTAAGTAATTAACTGCTGCTTCTGTGTTAATGACATCCAATTTACCAATGAGAGTTAATGCTAATACGGCACAATACACAAATCTATTATCAGATTCTCCCCAATGATCAGCAACAAAGCTTCCATCTTCCCTTTGACAAGATTTAATGACTAATAAACTTAACTCTTTTCTGTTGACTTAAAAATAAAATTATAATTATTAACAAACAATTAGCTACTTGTTCAACTGGAATTAATGAACGTTTTCCTAAAATACATAATACTTGTATTGCACTAAGAGTATTGTATATGTGCCCGTCATATCCAATATTTCCTCCAAATCCACCAGTCTTTTCATCAAAACATTTCATACAAAATTGTGATAATCTTTCTTTATCTTCTTCAGTAACTTGATTTAATAAATGAAGTGTTGTGATACCCCAATAAATACCACATATTTTTAGGTGCGAGCTTGTTATTGACTCAATATCATTTTCATTTTCCTTTTCTTTATTTCTTAGAAATTCAACGTGTTTTTGTGGAATGAATGTCATCTTTTTTCAAATTTAAGTTCTTGTTCCTAAACTATATTTTTATAGATTTAATATAATAAACTTTACTATTGTTTTTCTTAAACTTTAATCATAAAAATCTTTTCCTTTGTGAGAACCAATCAATAGAGTGTCTCATTATTCTCTTAGTACAATTAATTTTTAGACTACACCTACTGTCCAAAACAGTAAAATACTATACTCTGAATAAATAATAAGTCAAATATCTTTAACTTTATAAACCCTGTCGTTTTAAAATAGACCATTCTAATAATCACTAAACCAGACCCTTTCATAAGATATTTGGCTCTTATTGTTGTTGTAGTATTAGTTATATTAAAGGATTTTTGGAAAGATATATTCTATTGAAAATTAAATTAATTAATTACTCATTGTTATTATATTTAATAGTAGTATTTATGGTGTTGATTTATTTCATTTGTGGGCACTTAGTTCTGTAAGTATTAAACACTGCCTAGTAATTATTATTTGGACGACTAAATTATTTCTGTGAATTATTTCAATTTGACTAATATTCTATTAAAATTATTATATATTTTGTATTGTATTATTTCTTTCAACATGAACTTTTGTTTATTTATCTTGTAAACATCTTCATAATTTAATGCAAACACATTCTAACCACATCTCTGTTTTAATGTCATTAAATTTTAATTCATTTATATACTATTTTCTTTGATCTTTTTTATTCAAATACATTTCAATACTCTAGGTAATGACAATTTTCAAGACTTCATACTCTTTTATTTTAATAATATGCATTGGTAAATATTAATGAGTTTATTAATATCATTGATACAAAGAACAATAATCTCAATGTGATTTACACAATACTCAAACATTGCATGACATAATTAATAAAATAAAATTGACAAACATATATTGTAAAATTCAATTAAATCTTAGTTGACTTGGACTTTAAATTACCTCACGTTAAATCAACTTTTACTCTGAATTTCTAATATAAGGCTCAAGATGTTGTTGAATCTTCTTTATCATGTCTTCATCAAATCCAAGATTTACAAATGCTTTCATCTTTTCAAGATGCTTTCCTGTTTCTTTTTTAACTGTTTCAACTTCAACAAGACCACTTTTATTCACAGTTACTTTATGAATCATTTTAAATTCACCTTCCTTTAATCCAGGTGGAAGTCCTTCTATTGTTACTTCAGTAACAAGTTCCATTCCTTCTTCATTTGTTTTTCTTCCTTCTCCTTTATAAATTGAATTTCTAATACTTCTTTGATCATCATATGCGTTGAAATATTCACCTTCATAAGTAATTGGTAGTGGTTCTCCTTTTGGTGCAAAAATACTAAACTTATTATCAACTAACCCAAACCCAAGTGTATATGGCATAACTTCTACAACAGTATCTTCTTTATTTATTGACAATTGGTATGCCCTTACTGCTGCTCCTTTAACAACACTTGTATATGGATTAAAATCAGGTCCTACAATTTTATTTCTCCAAGCATTTTAGAAATTGACTTTCTAACAAGAGGAATATAACATGTTCCACCAACAGCAAGAACACAGTCTATATCTTCAATTGCCCAATCAGCACTTTTTATCACATTTTTTACACATCGTTCAATCTTTTCTATTAATTTATCTTTTATACACTCTGACTCAAATTCATCTCTAGTTACAGTAATTGTTGCTCCTTCAAGATCTTCTGCATTTAAATCATCAAGTTGAATAGGTAAACAACCTGTGTTTCCAGAAAATAATATTTTAGTATCTTCTGCAATATTTCTAATTTTTTTCATCCTCTTTTCTTTCTTCTTTTTAACATTTTTAGCATCAGCACTTTTTACTATAAACAATCTTTGAAATTCAGTATCACCAATACGCTGTTTTATTTTATCAAGAATAATTGTAATGAGAGAGTCATCAAAATTGTTTCCACCAAGATTAAGATCACTTTCATTTCTAATACATTCTATTTTTGAATCTTCATCTCTTTTATTAAAATCTTCTGGTTTTATTGCTATTTTCATTTTTAATTCTCTATGTATTTCAAATCCATTAAATGTGAATGAATTCCCCTGAGATACTCTTTTAAGGCAATTTAACACTATACCATCAATACGTTCAGAAACTGATTGCTTTCCTAATTTTATTATAAATGAATCAGATTCTTCTGGTGGATTAAGTAATTCTAACACTTTCTCATTTGCTATGTTTGAATGTTTTATTTTCTCTAAAACTATCTTCTTTGTTATTTCTAAGTCTTTTCCATGGTTTTCTTTTTTTTCATCTTTATGGAAAATACAACAAGCAACATCTGTTGTTCCTCCTCCACAATCAATTACAAGAACTTTTGAATTATCTTTTATGTGATGTTCTCTATCAAATTCTATAACTGATGCAGTTGGCTCATGTAATAAAGAAATATCCTCAAATCCTGCCATTTTACATGCTTGAATTGTTTCTTTCTTTTGTTTTGGTGTAAAAGAAACAGGAATGGTAACAACTACTTTTCCTATTTTTTTATTTCCTATTTTTTCCTTGAGCACATTGTACAATGTTCTAAGAACCATTGCTGATACTTCAATTGGATAAAAACTTTCTGTTTGTGTTGGATTAGTAGGATCTTCAACACACATTTTTATTTCGTTATTATCTGTTGAAACTGCAAATGATGTAAATGATGGTAATAACTTCTTTTGTTCATTATAATGTTTAACTGTTTCTCCTATTAATCTTTTAGAGTCATGAAGACAAATACCACCACTTTTTTTTGCTAAAATTCCTGCTTGGTAAGTTTTAATTCCATTACCTCTATTCAATAGTTGAACCCATGATGGTATTGAAGATACATTATTTGATATTTCTAATACCTCTACTTGATTGTTATTATTTTCAGAATAAATAGCAATAGATGAATATGTTGTTCCTAAATCTATTCCAACATGAATAGGTGTTTCCCTTAATGTTCGTGTACTCATATAATTTAAGTAAAGATATAATTCTTTAAATATATATATTAAACATCATTCGAATAATAGAATATTTTTATGAACCATTTAAATTAGTTAAAATAAACTATTTTTTTTTTGATTATTCCTAATTTTTAAGAATGACTTTTTTATGCATTTCTTATTTCTATTTTATTAAGAATTTGATTATATAATAAAAAACAACTCACAATCTCCGTCATTCTTTACGACTACATTTTTAATTTTTTATTCTGTCAATTTCAAGTTTTAATTTGTTTATCAGTTAATACTTTCTATATTATTAACCCATTAAATAAAATTGGTACTAGGATTATTTTCACGTCTTTAGTTTATTTCATTACTTTATTTTTCAATTATATATCAATATGTTCAATCATATTTATTTATCATTAACCTTATAATTATTATCATATCAAATAATATACAGTTTTATTCTTCTTGTATTAAGTACAATTTGATGACACTCTTTTTCAAATATTTTAAAGTAATATCGTTATTTGGATATATTTCATTTTGTGGGTCTTTCTTCTTTATTTTAATTTTGTTATTAGAATCAAACATGATTTTATTTGAATTGATTCTGACAATTTCATTCTTATTAAATTTAATTCTTTCTTTAATCATTATCATCATATATTTTAGGTACTTTATTCTTTCTTATGCTTTCATTTTAATTTCATCTATATCTTGTTCATTTAATCTCATGATACATTTTATTCTGTACCATTTCCTTCCCTTGATTAGATCTTCTAATCTATTTATTTTCCTTAGGATTTCTTTTACTTCATCAAATTTATCTCATTTAAATTTATTTTTGAGATAATAGTACATACACATTGAAATCCTTTTCATATCTTCTTGTAGATTTTCTATTCTCCTGACCATACCCATTTGTTATTAATTTCTCTAATTAATTTATCTGCTTCTTTCCTTTTCCAGTAGTAATTAATATTTACACATTTATCTATTTTCATTCCTTTAACTTGAGTGATGATAGAGTTAAGATATTCATCATCAATATCAGTAGAGTTATTTTTTATGATAATGTTTTTTATTATTGGGTTACACTCTACTTTCCCTTCTATGATGGAGTTCACTTTCATTTTAATATATCTTTTAGTTGTTTCTTTTATTTTATGTGACTTTTTAATATTATTAATGTATTCTTTCTCATTATTTACATTAATGTTTATTACTTTTATTATGCTTTCTATTTGTTCATTTCTTAATTTCTTATTTAATTTCTTATTTAACAAATTAATTGCAAAACAATGGCAACGAAAAAAAATGAAATAAGAGAAAAGTGATGAAAAAGAAGGATATAAAAGAAAAAAAGTGAAATTATGAAGTAGATGAAGATGAAAAGAATAAGAAAGTTGAGAATATAAAAATAAAGAAGATAAAAAGGAATGATTCAAAATGAGATAATAAATGATGAAAAGAATGATGAAATAAATGATGCATTTTTTATTATAGAAATTAGAAATATGCAATAAAAAAGCGTTTAATTTATTGATGCAAATTATTTATCATTATTTTATTTATGTAATTTATTTTATTCTTTTTTATTTATATAATTTTTATTTATATGTATTATTTATTATCTTTTTTTAATATATTGATTATTTTATTTTATTATTTATTATTATTTTATTTATTTTTCTCTATTCTTTTATTTGTTCATTTTTATTATAAATATGAAATGTTTCAATATTATAAAATAATTTTATTATTTAATTATTTAAATGATTTATATTAAAATGAATTTATTCTATATTTTATTGTTTTCTTTTATCTTTATTTTATATTTTAATAATTTCTTTAATATCATCATTTTATATTATTATTATCTTTATTCTTTCATATTTTTAT